TTCTCCTTGGCCAGCATGTGCAGGTACCACAGCGCCAGCGGGGCCGTGAGCTGAACGTCTCCCGAGACTGGGTCCGGGCCCGAGGTCGAGAGCCGGATTGGGGCTGATGTCTCGAGGTAGCCGAAGATGGGCACACCTGCTTGCGCGTTGACGGTGGTGGGGTCTGGGGAGGTGGCGGACGAGGGCCCGCCGCAGCGCACGCACAAGAGTTCGATTTCGGTGATGATGAAGCCGTACCGGCAGCCGTGTTCGCGCATGATGCGGTGGAGGTGGGCGAGGCCTTGGAGGTAGAGGACTTGTTTGGGTGGGGACTCGCTGCGCATCCCCGTGTTCCATTGGTCGTAGCATTTGACGAGGCCGACGACGCGGCCGCGGGCGTCGCCGAAAATCGTCTTTTCGTAGTCCGAGGGGTAGCTGGAGATAAATTCGGGTTGTTGGCGGGCGCCGGGGACGGGCTTGATGGCCCGCATGACCATGTGGTTGCTGCCTTGGGCGACTTTGAGAGCGGCGTTGAGCTTGTTGGCGTAGTAGTTTGTGCAAATATCTTGCAGGGAGGATTCGTTTTCAGGTTGGAGGTTTTGGCGGCAGGGCTGGGGGAGATAGGATGCTGGAACAGGGACTTCAAGGAGGGGAAGCACGGAAGGAATGGCCTTGATGGTAGTAATGTTGAAGTCTTCCCAGCTGCGAAGGTTGCGGATATCCCACCAGAAGTGGTTGTGGATGCCACGGGGTGCATTGGTCACACGACGTACGAGAGCTGGAGAGGGGTTCGGTGATGTGAGGTATTCCATAATGGAAGAGGTAGGCGGGATCGACTGGTAAGCATCGAAGCTGACGTCGGTAGAGAATGGATACTGGACAGCTGGCGCAGCCTCGAACTCTGGGACAGTAAAGTCTTGAGTGCAACTCGCAGTGAAGCTGGGAATATCCTGGGCGGAGGAATACGTAGAGGGAAGAGCAGTGATGAGACCCATGTTTGACTGGGGCGCACTGGAAGCAGTCACGTAACTGGGGAGGTTACGGTAGGTAGGGAAGCCATAGCGATTAATGATGTTCTCATCGACACTGCCAGCCGAGACAGAGCGGTCATGACGAGGACGAGTCGTAGATGCCGAACGAGAGTGCGAACCCACATAGGAGGATCGCCGGGCCTCTGGCTGACTAAAAGTGATGGGCGAGTTTAGAGTAGAGAGGTTGATGTCGTACGAAGACGACGAATTAGACACAGGCGACGTCAAGTTGCTGTGAAGATTGTGCAGGTTGTGATTAAGAGGACTTGAGCCACGGCGGGCCATCGAGGCCGGCCGTGAATAGGGGCTGTAGGCATAGCCGACACTGGAGCTAGACGTCGTCCTGCGATGTCTGATGGGGCCGCCAGTGGGCTCGGCTACCTGGTCCTGGATGCGAACTTTTGGAAGGAGAACGGGCCCATAGGATCTCAGTGGAGAGCGAGGAGGCGTGGGGCCAGCAGCATGAACATCTGGTGATGAAGCTTGTGAGTAGTATGTGACATCTGAGCCAACACTGCCCGGGATGTAGTTGAACGAGGAGGAAGAAGGCGGTGTTGTGTGACGGCTGTACATTGTGAAGGAGAGAGAAGCTACCAGACTGATGTGTATTAGAATTGGTTTGCAAGAGATTCTTTTTTTTGCATCCAACAACTCACGCTCAAGGTCTTGTGGAAGCGTAACCAGAAGATTATCAAATAAGGAATTAGTATAGAGACCAGCTCGCAATGTCTAAGACAAAAAAGAAGCACAGAGAGTATGAAACGAAAGAGAAGAAACAAGCTCGTCTCGGCCGGACCGGGGAGGAGGAGCAAGAAAGCAGCAGCTTGATGAATGCTGGAGATGATGGATAGAGATTGCGGCACAGCCAGTCCTCTTATCCATTCCTTCCCCGCGAAGACACGAGAACCAACGCCCTCGCCGCGCCAAGGCATCTGAAACACGATCCATCGAAGCCCGAATGTCTGGCGCGCAGTACCTGTTCTGGCGGTCTGGCGGTCTAGCGGGCTGGCGGCAGTATCACGCTTTGCAAAAGGGTCGTTGGTACATGCAGACCAGACATGGAGCCTCACGAAGCGCCTGAAACATAGCGTTGGCCGGGCCGGGGGCGAGTATGTGGGTACAGAGAGAGAGCTAGGAGCCACGATGTCGTGGAACGAACGACTTGCTTAGCTATTTCTGATGTGAGGACAGCTCAAAGCAGGTTGGTGGCCCATGGTCTGGATAGCCTCTGTATGGCTGCAGCGCTGAGGTTACAGAGTAGAACATCCAAACAGGGTAAAGCGGACAACGAAGCGCCTGTACATTCATGGGGCGGCAGTTTGAGGTTGGCAGTTCGCAGAAAGGGCGAATGGGATGGTGAGGTTGTGGGGGTTGTGGTTGAGGTTGATGGTTTAGCGCCGCCAAGGCTGTCCCGTCCGTGCGTCGTCACGCGATGGCGTACTGAGAAGTGGGGACAAGACATGGGGAG